CGAATTAAGAATCTATTCAACGTTTGTTTGTTGCAATACCGTGAAATAAATTGTATTATATATTTTCTCAGTTTAGACTGAATTTAAAGTTCGTAAGGATTAGAAATCAGGTTGACCTGTGGTCGTAGATTAAAAATAGCCATAGTGAAGGTAAAATTATTACGTTAAATAATTGTTTTTATACGAATTAAATATTTATTCAACGTTTATTTGTTGCAATACCGTGAAATAAATTGTATTATATATTTTTTCTGTTTACACTAAATTTAAAGTTTTGTTTACATGTTATAACAATTAGAATGTTGACGTTTTGCCGTTTCACGGTTTTTCCTCTGTTAATTATGTGTTTATAAATCATTTCAAACTAAAGCAGCACCATGCCCACCCTTAATTAAACCGTCTCAGTAGTTTACCGTAATTAATAATCTATTTTCGGAATTTATACGAGAATTTTTGAATTTTAGTAAATACTAGAGTCAGTGCATCGCGTATTGAAATAATAGCTTCATCCCTAGTTCGTTTATTATTGAATATTTTTACGCGTTTAACTTATGCTTCTCCCCAATTCTCGTCGCGTATTTTATTCAAATTTTCTTATATTCTAGAATCGAAAAAGATACGAATTCGCGTTTGTTCTTTTGATTCAATTTATATACCGCGTTTATTTTCTACTTTCTTTCAATTTTTCACTCGCGTTCTACGAAAGTTTAGTTCAATAATAATATTGAAAATAATATAAATTCGCGGTTTCTCCCTTTCTGAATAAATCGCGTTTCGAAGTATTTTCCGCGTCGTCCACTCCACAGTGACTCACATATTGTGAGTCTGTGAGTCATGGAACATGAACGTCGGGGGACTGGAATGATCTGAGAGGAAGGATGACAATCTGAGAGGAAGGAAGGAGGAAATGCAGTCAAATCCACGTTACAGAGCTGGGCTGCTTAATCAACGAACGGTGAGTTACAAAAATGGGTTTTTTTCTGGTGATACGGTTAAGTAGTTAGTTGTGTTGTGTATTGCCAGTTCAAATATGAGCTGGCTGCCGCAAATTAAAATGTCTCAGTAGTGTTTCGCAATTAAAAATCGGTTTTCGGAACATATACGAGAATTTTTGAATTTTAGTAAATACTAGAGTCGTTGCATTGAGTATTATAATAGCTTCATTCCTAGTTCGCTTTATATTGAATATTTTTACGCGTTTAATCGATACCCTCCTTCAAATTTACTTGCGTTAGAGATTCGGGAAAAATATCAATTCGCGGTTTATTCTTTTGCTTTATATACATCGCGTTTATTTCATATCTCTTTTCTTTTTTTTACGTTTATTCTATTTAAAGTTAACTTGATTCTAAAAATCGAGAATAATATAATATCGCGGTTTCCCCTCTTAAATAAACCGCGTTTCGAAATACTTTTCGCGCCGTCCATTCCACAGTGACTCACATTTTGTGAGTCTGTGAGTCTTGGGAAATCAACGACGAGGAACTGGAACGATTTGCGGAAAGATGACGATCTGAGAGGATGGAAGGAAGGAAGGAAGGAGGCAATGCAGCCAGGCAGCCAAATCTACGTTGCAGAGCCCAGCTGCTTAATCTGCGAATTGTGAGTGAATTTTTTGAGGGTTTGGTGGTTGGTTATATATGTGTGTGCATGTGCATGTCGAAGCTGAACTACCAAGAGGTCAAAGAAGAACTGGATGGACTCTACTGCACTAATGGTGCAAACGCCCTCCCATTATTAGAGTATCAAAGTAGTATACCGCGTTAATTCAATTTAGAGTCAATTTTCCCATTTACTTTCGATCGATACGAGAATTTATCACGTCGCGTCGCGTTTGATAAATAGCTTCGTCCCTTTTTCCATTTTTGCGTTTCTTTTCTCTTTTCTTTTTTGAATTTTTGCTAAATGTCCCAACTAAAATCAACTACAGGAAAATATGGAGGATAATAAAAATTCGCGGTTTCGGGTACTAAACAAAATCCCTGAAAATGAAAATAAATCGCGATTCGTACTCCACTTTTCGCGCGTCACCCTTTCACAGCTTTCCAAGTCTGGTGGGTCTTGGGCATTGGCTTTGGGTCTTTCAATCTATCATTGTGGGCCACTGGTGGGATGAAAATTTAAGGCTGAGGGGAATTCAATGGTCCACTGAGGGAATTGCAAAAGTTTCATGGGTCTGAAAGAAGCTTCCAAGTGAATTGTGGGTCAAAATCGAAGGCTGGGAGGACTGAAATGGGTCACTAAGGGTATCTCAAAGGTTACGAATGGTGAGTCGTATGAATTATTTATCTTGTCAATCTAATTTATATTCTGTTTCAGTGTTCCAGCGAAATTTTGTAAAAATTGTAATAAATTCGCGGTTTTCCTTACTAAATAAAATGAAAATAAATTGCCTGGGCGTTCTTGATCGTAGAGATCAGTTCTCAAAGCCTATTGTTGCCAATTCTGACGAGATAAAAAGTACCGAGAGTACTGATAAGGTTCAGGGTAGGAATAAAATCTATTTAACAATGTCCACCTCTGTGGTCTGTGTTTAGGGAGTTGTACGTTTTTTCGATGATCGATTTAGGTAAATATTTCGAGCTCACATAAGAGTTCAATTTTCTCCCATTCGAAAAAGAATTTTGCCTTGAGTTGAGATTCTCGATCACTCAGTTCCTGCGAGTTTATTCGCGACTTAATCACTCGCGAGTAGCGCGCGATACTCGCGAGTAAATTCGTCGTGTATGCTCGCTGGTTCTTTAGAATGATAGCGAATTTCTCGTTGCGCTCTGAATTCAATCTGACCGCGATTTATAATTTTTTGAAACCCTATCAAAGGAGAGCATTGAATTTTTCCAATCTTTAAATTAACTATGACAAAATGATTAGCGTTGCAATTTCAAATAAAATATAAGACACTCCTTAAAAATTTATGTTAAGAACACGAATTTTTGATAAAGTGTCTTATCTCCTTTGCTACGAATGAGAATCGCGTATCTCTAAAGATAGAGAGCTGCCAGTAGGGCATGTGTTTTTGTCGGGTCCCTTGCGTAGTCACCTCCTCGTGGTGGGACCTGGTAATTGGTATCCTTTTCCAAAGAAAAATCTCACTTTTGCAGAAGGATACCAAGCTAAGAACTACGCGTACCCGTGGACACTCTGATTCTCACACACAGTTGAAAGTTTGAACTTTAAGTAGTTCCTAAGATAAAGTAAGTTAATTCTAAGATAGAAAATTGAACACTATGTGCGCGTTTCTTAATAAAATACCTTGAAAAATTATTCAGATTCTATGGTAGATATGAAAGTTCCATTTAACATCAAATTTTAACATCGATCTGTCAATAGCAAATTAGCAATCAATTGCCTACGAAACACAAAGAAGAATTTCTTCAATTTTCTGACATAAAATTTCACAAGAAGTAGCAGTAAAGGAAGATTAAATAAGAAATGCAATTCTGTGACAAATTTTTCCCAAACAGTGTTTTTAATATGTTACACAATAAAAAGTTACATTACGTGGTAAGATACTGTATCTCATCTTATATATTTTACTTTTCAAACATTTATATCAGACTTTTCTGCGATTTTTCAATTGCATTACGCATTATTGCAATAATTTCTATCGTTACATTTAATTCTAATTGTTTAGCAGCTTTTCTGCTGCTATCGACCCTACATTTTACTGACACTTGTCGAATCGACCCTACATTTTCTTTTTTTTTACGTGGATGTAGGTTGACCCTACAGTTTACTGACACTTGTCGAATCGACCCTACATTTTACTGACACTTGTCGAATCGACCCTACATTTTACTGACACTTGTCGAATCGACCCTACATTTTACTGACAGTTGTGGAATCGACCCTACATTTTTTTTTTTACGTGGTGGTAGGCCGACTCTATGTGATAAACAATTGGCAACCAAACGGTAGCTCTCCCTCTACATTCGACGGATAATGTGTACAGGTATTTAATGTAATTTTTTAGCAATTTGTTTTTGTAATTCATCCAAAGCGATATATTATGAAATTAAATTAATCACTCAATAAGTATTAACATTAGATTGTTTCCTCCATATGGCCATGGTGGTCATCAGTGACTGGAGTGCCTCAAATGTTTAGAATAATTAAAATAAAATAAATGTTGTCAACTAAAAATTTTGAACGTCATAGCTAGCTAGACATTATTTTCAATTGAAAAAAAAAAATTATAAAGCATAATACTATAATCCTATGCTTAAAATGTATTTTCTTGTGGCCGCCTGACAGCAACCTGTAAATCTGGCGCGACAGTGAACGTGTTAATAAGTAAATGTTGTTCAAATTATATCGTGTTTGATATCATTTTCATCAGAAAAATCTCACCAACATGATGTTAAATAAAATTCCAGATGAAAAAAAGTAAAAATTAAAGAAATTATATTTTTCTATTATGATTTGTCGAGCCGTGTAATCTCGTAAAGGAAACCGACTGGTGTAGCGTTACACACTTAACTGACTGCGAGCGAGATAACATGGGCGCAGCAATGACGCAGACCTAGGCGTAGGACCATCTATACTGTCACTTGTAGAATCCAAACTTACTGACTCTTGTAGAGAATTTACTGTACTGTTAGATCATCCGGTAAGTTCGTGCTGCAATGCGTTTATACACTTCATAATCTGTTTTATATTTGGAGTTACTTTCCAGAAGTTAAACCCGTCATTTAGTCGTATATCTACTGTGCTCAGTTAGAAAAGTTAAGAGAAGCAATAACAGTGAAACGTCCAGGACTTCTAAATTGAAACAAAGTGATTTTTCATCACGATAATGCCAGATCACATGTGGCACAAAACGTGCAAAAAAATTATGTAAATTCCTACCATATTCTCCGGACGTTAATCCATCAGATACGTTTCGTTTATAACATTGCAACATTTTTTAGTGGGCAACAAATTTGACAATATCAACTCTATAAGAAATAACGTTGAAAAATAGTTGAATGAAAAACAAGAAATTTTATAGTGACGGTATAATGGCTTTGCCAAAAATATGGGGTGAAGTTGCGGAATGAGATGGTGACTGCATTCTTTCGTAGGATTTGAAGGTATCAAAGATTTAAGGCTTTTACAGCCCGGATCATAATTATTATTATTGAGGCTTTTGGGTGTATATGATTATTCAATTTATCTCACAAACCCTGATGAAGTGGTAACTTTAAGTATATGAATTTAGGAAGCATCAATAAAACAAACTGAGAAAGAATTAGAATCAGAAGCAGTACATCTTTATCAAATGCAACATGATGTTGAGAATCAACATAAAACACTACAACAGTACATAGAAACACTTACGAAAATCACATTATTAAGAGAAAAAAGGAATCACAATATAAAAAATATTCAGGAAATTGCACAACAAAGTTGCTTAAAATTAAAAGAAGAAAAAGATAAAAAGGAAAAGCTTTCTCAGAAATTGAAAAATTTATTGACTTTTCATTCTTGTCTTTCTAAATGGGAAAAGAATTTAAATGATCATTTAATAATGTTTAAACAAATGTCATTACAAGATGCAAGTAGAAATAAAGTACTGGTTAATAAAAAACAGCAAAGAGACTTTATCTTGTATCGAATAAAAGAAGAAATATGGAAAATTGAATCAGAAATAGCTTACTTGGATGAACAATTACAAACAAAGGATAAAGAGAAAGAAAACGCTAATAGAATGATAATTGATATAAATACAGAATTAGAAACTCTGCATACAGAACACAAAGGTTTACATGGTACATGGAAATCTGTAGTAAATAGTATTTGTAAAAGAAATAATGTTCATGAAGAATTGCATTTTGAACAAGAGTAAGTACTGTAAAAATTAAAAATGATGTAAATGTAAATATTTTTCTATTTACCTTATGTATTTAAATTATAGTACATTAATACAAAAACATTCAAAGAAATAAATTTTGTGTAATTATTAAATTCATTAATATCTTTTTGTGGAAAAAAATATCATATAAAAATGTGGTTTCATGTTATATTTAATGAAATATTGATTTTTTAGTGAAGCACATAAATTGTATAGTAGATTATTATTAGAAATACAAAAAATAAAAAAAGAAACAGAAAAGGAAATGGAAATTAATGAACATTTAACATCTTTATCATTTCGAATAAATGATAGTATTAAAATTGCATCAAGAATAATATCAGCATGCAATGAAAAAATTACAAACAGTGAATTAGAATTATTAAATTTCACAAAAGTCAATGAACAAACACAACATAATTATAATGTTGTTCTTACTGTATGTATAACATAGCATAGTTACCAAGTAAAATGGTAAATAAAATTATTACAAACTGATATAATTTTAGAAATATCAAAGCTGTTTATATGAAGAAGAGCAGGTGAATAAAAAGTTTCAAGCTATTTTTGAACAAAAAAATGATGTAGAAAATGCAATATTTAAAAAGTTAGAAGAAAAAGTTATATGTAGCAAAACGGCACAATATATAAACGAATTATTAATAAATACAAAAAATTCTGTATTAGAATATGAAATTTCAGTTGCACGTATAGAAAATATATATGGAAATAACATTTTAGAACTAGAAAAGTTTACAAATGTAACTGAAAACCAAAAAACAGAATTGCAAGAATTGTCACAGAAGAATATTGAAAAGGAAAAACAAATAGATGAATTGCAAAAGGAAATAAAAAAACATGAAATTATGATAGAAAAGACACAAACAAAACTTCAAGGAATAAATAAATTTATTGATCAGGTTGTATACTCTTTACTTTTATTTTTCAATTCAGAGTAGAATTTAATTTAAAAATTATGTTTAATGTTTATTGAATAAATGATTTTAGATAATATTAAATATTGGTGGAGAAGATTTGAGTCCACAAGATTTAAAAATTATCAGTTTAGAAAAAAATATGCAGAAACTTCAACAAAATATTAAAAAAACGCAGCAATTCTGGATGCGTCAACAAAGTTTTGTTGTTTCATTAAGTCAACAGAGAGAGTCACAGTTACGAGAATTAAATCTCCTTGAAAAGGAAATCATGATAATGGGACAAAAAAATTTTAAATTAGAATATGCATTGACAATGCTTGCAAAAGAAGAGGAGAATGCAAATAAAATTATAATTTCTCTCAATCAAAAATTGTTACGTATAAATATAGATTTAGTGAAACAAAATGATTTAAAAAAGGAATTGGAGGATAAAAATTGTGTGATTAAAAGTGAATATATTTTGTCTTTTCAAGAATTTGAATTAGAACTTATAAAATTACAAAGTGATTTAAAACATTTGTGCACTGATAAAATAATGTTAAAAGAAGAATTAAAACTTGCACAACAAGAAAGTTTATCATGGGGAAAGAAAGTGAAATTCATAGAATGGAAATAAGACTTTTCCATTTGAAAAAAATTCAAGAAAAATTGATTCATGATATGAATCTCTGTATTACAAGAAGAGATATTATAGTTAACAAAGTATTTGATAAGCTTAAAAAAAATCCAAAAGTAAAACATAATGAAAGGGTTGTAATGCATAAACGTTTATCTGATCAAAGAATAAAAATTAAACAACTTCAAAAGGTAAGCACAAAAATAATTAATTTCTAACAAATTAGCAAACTACGTATTTTATTATTAACAGATTGCAAAAGAAACTGATAATATGGTAGAAAAATTAATGAACCAAATAACAAGTATTCGGAATAAAGTAGACAAGTGCCAGGAGTTTTTGCAAAATTTGAAAAAATCTATTAGCAGCATAGAAGATGAGATTGCTCAATTGGAATTGTTAAAATACCATGTATGTTTTAATTGTTCTGTATTACTAACATTTGTAACCTTTTAATTAGATTTTTCCATTTTCAGAATTTACATAGCTTGGTTTTTAAACAAAGAAAAGTAAAACAGTTACATAATGTTAAAAATGGTGTATATAAAATGGTTTATAAAAGTGAAAATGTGATAGAAGAAAATTTGCAAACAGAATACTGCTGCAGGGAATACTTAAAATATGTATTGGAAAGAACTGATCAAGACTTTCCAATGTTAAAAGATAGTATAAAAAGAATATTATTGGCTTTGCAAATTTTTTAAGCATGTAATCAATATATAAGATAAGATAAATATTTGATTATTATATTATCATTATACAGATTATATTATCATATTATCATACCATATTCTACGTTGATTAAATAGATTGCACAGTGATATAAAGTTTATGTAATAATATAGGCATCGTTGATTTATACAGGGTGTTTGGTAACTGGTGGTACAAGCGAAAAGGGGGTGATTCTACACGAAAGAATAAGTCGAAAATATAGAATAAACATTTTTCGTTTGAGGCTTTGTTTTCGAGAAAATCGACTTTAAATTTTCGTCGAGTACGCATGCACCCTACTATGCCGTGGATGAATGGATCTCGATGTTCGGTGTACGGTGGCCAGCATTTTCAACAATTTTTGCATTAATAAAGTAAATTTTGATAATTACATGCTTTATTATTACTCATAAACCTACGACATATGGTCTATATCGAGATCCGTTCATCCACGACATAGTAGGGTGCATGCGTACTCGAAGAAAATTCAAAGTCGATTTTCTCGAAAACAAAGCCTCAAACGAAAAATGTTTATTCTATATTTTCGACTTATTCTTTCATGTAGAATCACCCCCTTTTCGCTTGTACCACCAGTTACCAAACACCTTGTATAGTAATCATCTATAGTACTTATACACGCTGATATTGGTATCTGTTGATCCCTAATAAAGCGTTCTGCAATGTTGGCGAAACGACGGAACATTTTTGCATAAGGACATCATTTAAACGTAAGCTTCGAATACATGATCTAAATCATGGTTAATCTCTCTTCGATCGTATCTTTGATAAGAAATACTTTCACGTTAACGATTATCGAAAATTTCGTAAATATTTGAAAATACTACATTTCGTAAAGTATAATCAAACTTAGAACACGGGCATTGTTTGACGCTTTAAACACCTGATTTTCTAAATTTCATTTGTTTAACACGGTACGTAACACAATACTGCGGTAACATATAGCAATAAAATATTAAATTCCAGTGTTTTAATAATGAAATATTTTTTTCAATAATATAATATAAATTACGATATTTTGATTTCATACGTATATTTTTAATGATATTTTCACATTCTTACTATTTTTTGTATAAAAATGATAATACGTTATTTAGTATTACATTAATAGTAATGGTAGATCTACATTAATATAAGAAGTAAACAAATGAATTTAATTAATAAAAGGTATAAAACTTTAATTGTTAACAGTATTTTTAATTTATGGTAAAAGGTGAAAATTTAGTTTATTTTTTTGTTTTAAATGTTTAAATACACTCCTGTTTGTTTTGTAAATTAAAATAATTCTAAATTAAATTTAAACACTTGATAACAAACTTTAATTTTTGATAAATAATACCTGCAATTTATAAATAACTACTTTACTGGTCAATAACTACTTTTAGATACTTATTAAAGTAATTTCATGAAAATGAAGGAGGAACATCTTGGAAATTCACAACAATCCTTGGTTTCCAATAATGAAGATCAAGTTGTACCAGCTAAAACATTAGTTCAATATATAGCTGCTTCAGCAGCAGCTCTTGGGATCTTAGCATCTGGAATGACATTAGGATGGACCTCTCCTGCTGGTGACAATGGAAAAAATTTACAATCTTTGTATGGTATAAATATTTCTTCAGAAGAGTTTTCATGGATTAGTGCAATAGCTCCAGTGGGTGCAACATTAATGTGTATTCCTACTGGAATTCTTGCTGACACAATAGGAAGAAAATATTCAATGCTCTTAATGGTAGTGCCTTTTACCATAGGTTGGTTACTTATAATTTGTGCCAATTCTGTGCTTATGTTTTGTGTAGGTAGATTCATTAATGGTCTTTGTGGTGGAGCCTTTTGTGTAACAGTACCAATATACATTGCAGAAATAGCTGAAAGTAATATTCGCGGAACCCTTGGATCTTTTTTCCAATTGCATATTACTGTAGGCATTTTCATAACATATGTGTTAGGATCTATTGTTAATATGCGTATACTATCTATTATATGTGCTATTATGCCACTTATCTTTTTTGGAACTTTTATGTTCATGCCAGAATCACCTATCTATTATTTAAAAAAAGGTGATGTAGATTCTGCTAGGAAAAGTTTAATTAGACTACGTGGTGTTCAATACAATGTAGAAAATGAATTACAAAGTCATAAAGATGCATTGGTGGAAAACAATACAAATACAACTCCATTTTGGACCGTACTAAAATCTAAAGCAACTGTAAAGGGCTTTATAATAGCTTATGGCCTCATGTTTTTTCAACAAATGTGTGGTGTTAATGTTGTTGTATTTTATGCCGACAGTATTTTTGAAAAAGCAGGCAGTGCTTTAAAGTCTGATTATTCTGCTATGATAGTGGGTGCAATACAAATAGTAGCAGTTTGTGTAAGCACATTAGTTGTAGACCGTGCAGGCAGAAGAATATTACTGTTGACATCTATAATATTTTTGTGCTTAACAACATGTGCACTTGGAATATATTTCTATCTTTTACAAATTAATGAAGATGTTAGTACAATTAGGTGGTTACCCTTAGCTTCTATATGTATTTTTATTATTATGTTTAATGTGGGTTTTGGTCCACTTCCATGGATGATGACAGGGGAAATTTTTCCAGCAGAAGTCAAGGGTGTAGCTGCTAGTAGTGCTTGCTTTCTTAACTCGGCATTGGTTTTTGTTGTAACTAAATATTTCAGTAATGTTTCACAGATAATTGGTGTTGGTGAAACATTTTGGTTGTTTTCTGTAGTATGTGCTATTGGAACCGTCTTTGTATATTTATTAGTTCCTGAAACAAAAGGAAAAACTTTAGAAGAAATTCAAAGAGAATTAAATGGCTCATAATTATCATTATTTTTTTTAAAACTGTGAGACTGATGTAGGTTTAAAATTATTTTAAGTCTTTTCTTATAATTGGTTTACATAATTACCTCTAAATAGTTATATTAAAAAACCATTCATACACAAGCGAAATGTATACAAATACTTATATAACAATAAGAAAATAAAATTTTACAAAAGCAATCAATGTATTGTCTGACAAAGCAAACCTGAAGTCTCTGACGTCATCGCCTGGCCAGATGAAGGCAAAATAGGCGGGTCAGGTCATCCCCACCAAAAGAACGGAAAACTAAAAATTATTTAGTTTCGCCTTGTCCTCTTACCTACGTTGACGCGTAAGACACATATTTAATAGTGTAGACGTTAATTTATAAGCCACTCATACACAATAAATTGTTATTGTAAAGGAAACCTCAGGAGATGTATTAATATTTTTTAACAGTTAGAAAACTGAAGTGTAAATATTTTTTGCTATTCCTGAATAATAAAAGTATATTTTTTGGCAGCCACTTTTTACAGCCAATAAAAGCCATCAAACAGCCACTATTTAATGTTAAAGTTTTGAAAAATTTAACAAAATCAGACAACATGTCATCACTTTAACCGTAATATTTCGGCTTTATTTAAAGATAATATTTCGACCTTGGGCCATTACTGATAATACTTTAAGAATGGGCAAAAATCATTATTAAATATAATTACTGCCAAAAAAGGAGAGGATAGTTTATAATTAACGTCGACATTTGGTTTTTATTTTATTTCTTTACTTGTGTCAAGAAACTATTATTATTATTATTTTAAATACACTTTTCCGAACCTCAATCACAAATCCAAGTAAATTCCACATACATATATCGTCACACTAAACAAGCTATAACTTCGTTATTTTATCGAATATAACTATAAAATTTTAGGAACACATTTTTAAAGAGTTATACTTTCGATATATACAAAAAAAAAATCGATTTTTTGAAACCGTCACACTAGAATACCGCCTTGATCCTTTCGCTACGGCGGGT